CACACACACACACACACACACACACACACACACACACACACACACACACACACACACACAGCTGTGTCCAGATATCTATATGAGGACAGTCCATTTGCTTCCATTAATTTCTACAGCCTAACTCTGACCCCTTACCCTAACCTAAACTCTATTCACACGTTAGCCTTCCTAACCTCCATCCCATCAATGGTATTTACCCAAATGGGAACAAGGCTTAGGTCCCCATTAATACCAGTTTGTCCCCACAAGTCTAAAAATGGCCCACATATAGTAGGAAACACCCGTGCGCACACACACACACGTCATTTAAACTGACTTTAATCTCTCATCACTGAAAGCAAGAGGTGATCATGTTTTCACCCTTTTCTCTCTCTCTCTCTCTCTCTCTGTGTGTGTGTGTGAGAGAGAGTGTTTGCTGTTTCCAGCAGACCTTTTTGATCTCGCTGATGAACGTGTCTATGAGGTGTTTGACTTGTAAGGCCTTGGCTGAGAACAGGATCAGCTTCTCGTTGGTTAGGTTGAACTCCAACATGTTTTCAGACGGGATGGTCACAAACAGGATGTCGGCATAACTGAAGAATAAGAAAAACAAAACAAAACAAAACAAAACAAACAAAAAAAAAACAGAACAAGAAATACTTTATGGTCACATGACTACATTAATGAAATCAACCATTTTTTCTATTAGCATTCAAAATCCAGAACAAGAAAGTCATGGTAAACATGTGTGTCAGTTTGGTGTGTGTGTGTACTTGTTTCTACTACAGAATGAGGGCTATAGTTATTATCAAAGTGAGGTATTTGATTTAAGGACCTCTTCAATGTCCTCACTTTATTGACAGCTCTGCTGTGCTTTACCTTTAGAGGTATGGTGTGAATTAAGTTGTGGTTCAGGTTAGGCTTAGGAATAGACTAGTAGTTAGTCAACACGTTCTCACTCCCAACTCATCAACATAATGAGRCTTGGTCAGGCACCATCTGTGTCCAGTTTTGTTGCATCGGGTACCCCCTTCACGTCAGTTATTCACGTCCGCGGCTTTTCCGGGTTGCGCCACATACGGTTCTTTGGGTTGGGGGTCTGTGGTTAATATGAGGGATCAGGATTAATGGTTAATGTTAGGTACTGAGGTCAGGGATAGGCTGTCTGGACTAATAGAAGTTAAATTTAGGGTCTGGGACGCTGTCGCGCATTTCCTACTCTTAAAAAATACGACAACGCGCTCCTCCTCCTCCGTCTAATCTCGTTCAGAACTGACRCGAGGGGGGTACACACTGCCTCCAAAACTGGACGGACTCAGACAGCTACCTGACCAAATGTCAACATGTTGATGAGTTGGGAGTGAGAATGGGTTGGAATAGTTTTAGGGGAAATGTCTGGGTTAGGCACAAAAACTGTTACAAACATGAATGGAAGTCAATACAAAGTCCTCAGTTTGATGCAAGAACAAGGATGAGTGTGTGTGTGTGTGTGTGTCTGTGTGTGTTTGCAGCGCCTACGTGTATGGACGCAGGACTCTGAAGTAATCAGGTGCTGCAGCGCTGCTTTTGACGGTCTTCAGCAATTTGATGCCACTGTGGGACACGGCCAACACCTGCACACCTGTTCCTACACTTCCCTGCACTCGCACAGAGACACATGTTCACAAAGCGAAGACTAAAAGTTAAACCCACCCCCTCAAAACCACACACCTTGAAACTAACCCCCCCACCCACACAC